GATGGAGGGTTAAGAAACAAACAAACCCAGACACCACTCATTTATGTAAGACTAATATATCATCAGATATGATGCAAAATACTCCTCCAATAGCCCTGGTGATGCCTTCCCCAATAAGTACATACAGCTGCCGACATACATTATTATTTATCTCCTACCGCAAGATGATGTTACAGTAAAACAACGAGGAGTCTGGTGGCACCTGAAAGACTAACAGATTTATTTGGGCATAAGCTTTCGTGGATAAAAAACCCACTTCTTCAGATGTTACAGAATAGACTGGATGTTGGGGAAAGCAGGCCCAGAGCACCACGAATCTACTTGAAAGAAAAAATGTGGCAGGGAGAGACAAAAGAATGAATCAGGTAAATAAAACAGAACCCAACTCACAGCCTTAAGGGAACATGCTTCCAGTGCCGGCTGTGCAGGGATGTGACCTTATTTTCCAGAACAAAATGTTACTTAAGACTATTCCGCCTCCTAATGGAGCTGCAGGTGTTGTTACACGGTTTATGCTCAATTTGATTTAACCACAGAACAAAATGCTAATGTTTACATAAAACGTGGAAAGGGTCGTAGCACCAGCTAAGCAAAGCATTAGAATTCTCAGCGTGAGCTGCTGTTCCTCCCTTTCACTTTATAGCATCCTACTTACAACAAAACACAAGAGAAGAGGTAGCAGAGGGTGACACTGACTGAGACAAGTCTGATTTGGGGTCTGATTTTGCTCCCCCTCCCCCCATCAGCGACTATCTGGAGTAACTCTTCTGGGGCCTATATAGAGTTATGCTTATGTAAAAACTGGTGAAAGACAAAGGAAGTCAGCCTATTTCTAACGTCACCATCTCATACTCCAAGAGCCATTTGCAGGGTTTGAAGATGGGGCTTTGTGTTGCAAGAACAGGCCTCCAGCACTTAAGCAAAAGGCATTAGCTAGCAGTAGTAGTATATTATATTCCATGTTGGCCAGCCACTGGCAACGGACATGACACATTTTATAGGTGTGTTATATACACAGAGCTTTTCTTTTTCTTTTTAAAGGGTAATCCAATGTATCCGGCTGTTTCACAATACTTAGATTGTAACGTCTCTGGAGCTGGGATCATCTTTTGTTTTTGTTTGTACGGTACCTAGTACAATGGGGCGCTGATGTGTTACTGAATCTCTTACACTATTCCACAATCATCATAATCAATAATAGTTCAAAAAACAAAGCATGCCCTTGGAGCTGTAGGACAGTTGAGATTCTCAGCAGAGATAAATGGCTTCTTTTTTGCTGCCCATCATATTGATCCATAGTTAGAATCAAATGAATAGGTACAATGGGTGCTATTAAAAAAATAATTCACATTTGTCAGCAGATACCACACAGCAATATTTCAGATAACTTCAGCTTTTCGCTGTAATTGTAATACAAAATAACTGTAACAACAACAACAACAAAGTTGCTTCTATTTGCAAATGTTGACTTGTTAGTTGCAATCACGGTCTTTGCTCTTTTTAAACAAATGTATGTTATTCATCTGGCAGATAGTAACAAATTCTTTGGAGCCACTCACACAATCTAGGTGACACTGATTCCTTTAGAAATACATCAGTTCCTTAATAGTTATAGGAATATACAGAGTGCTATAGTACAGTAAGATATGCAGCATCAGGTCACATTACACGTCTCAAATACCCATCTGTGGCCCCTACCAGATGCATCAGAAATTATATGCTATCTTTTTAAACCTAAATATAACCTGCCAATTGTGCAATGTTCTACATCGGGAACAAATTCCTTCCTGACCCATGCAGCAATCAGTTTATGCCCTGAAGCATGTGACTGACTTATTTTAGCTCACACAGCTAAAAATATTGGTCATAAAGTTATCCAGCCATTTCAAAAAAGAATCCAGATACAGTATTTGACTGATTTCCTAAGGCAAGGAAATCCACAGGCTGAATACATGATGTGCAGACATTGAGAAGGTCTAATTTCAATCAAAGAACTATATATATTTCTATTCAGGCAGTAGCTCTGAAGACACATTAATTTTCCCAGCAGAATGAGACACTTTTTACCTGTATGCAAATCTTTTGACCCTTGCAGTCATTACAGTCTGTAGTGCCAGCCTAACAGTCAGACATGAATTTTAAATCTGATCACTGAAAAACCTGTTATGGTAAAATCAGTTCATATGGCTGGGCAGGTTCTGAGTTCTCTATTGTGTCAATTTCTTGTCCGTTTTTTCTGCTTTCTACATTTTTGTATCAATTGTAACTAAGTATATGGGACTAGACCCCAGGGAGTCTGATGTTTGCTGCCACTACATTCAGTAAGCATTTACCATTAACATCAAATGGCGCAGAATTCATCCCAAGTTCTTAAGTCTACTAAAACGATCAGCAAACATCTGACTACATGTTGCACAGAATGGGTAACCTTTGGAACATATCACCACATGATACTGCTGGAGCAAATAAACTGATTTGAAACAAATTAATACTTGCCACAATGCAATGTGACCATCACGGCATATTTTGACATTTTTCAATTATAAGTATATGAAATATCAAGAAGGTGGTGGTAATTTTATGTGTGTGGGGTGGGGGTTAATTAGTAACATTAATAGCTTCCTGAACAAAAGGATTGCACACAGGTAAAAAAAGACCATCTGCAGCAAATTCAAATAAAAATTACAAGGGTTATTAATCCTTATGCTCCAAGGCATCAGCACCTGCTGGGGTCAGGAGGCATTGCCTCCCTTATGGAATGGCATTGCACAAACACCTTTAAATAGTGGGGCAATGTTTAACCTCTCTCAACCACCAGCCACTGTCAGAGATAAGATGTCAGAGTAGATGGAGCACTGGTCTATTCTTGCATGGCATTTCCTTTACTCTGAGAGCAATCTGACATTTTATACCATGTTTCAGCCTTGAGGGTGCTTTTTCTCCAGCCAAGTTGTAAACACACTGAAGAATAACGGTTTATGATGGAAGCACCGATTTAGCATGAAACTAGAAAGTCAAGACTGAGGATGCTAACTTGGAGATGAAAAATGAAGGAGGTAAAAGATCCCTCTCCAGCACCAACCTATGCATCAACCACTCCTGTATTGGGACCAGGGGTAACACACACGAGCAATAGATAAGCAACAGAGTAACAAACACAATAAGCAGCAGGAACCACAACTGCATGACTCATCAAGTGTTAGGAACATATATCATCAGGCAAACAATATTTTCGTATTTAAAATTCAAGATGTATGCTCTGGCTCAGGCTTGCTAATTGATTACACAAGCAAAGGATCAATAAAAGGATCGATACTAGATGGTCTGCTGAAGCCCACAAGGAATTGAACAAAAATGAAGTTGGGAACCAGCAACTATTTTGGTAAAACAACCCAAACACTTGTATATTTACTGACAATCTAGTCCCCCGAAGCTCCCTGAATCCACAAAGGATAATCAAGAAGCAATTCTCCATAGTCATAAAGAAACTAAAATTCCACTAGTTCCCGGAGGCTGCAGCCCTTTACATAAGCAGCGCGTTAAATCAAGTTTTACCTCCTGTATAAAACTTTTTCCAGCCCAGAGTCTTTATGCCTATTTCTCTGCTGTCCTCTACGGTGTGCAGCCTGGAACCAATGCAAAGTGGGTGTCAAGCCGTACCCAATCACAATGGTAGGGTTTTATAGGTGTGAATGACGGCACAAGATGCAGACAGCAGGCCCAAAGTGCAAATGTGGAGAATTAGATCCAGTAGCAAGCTTTCTAAGTCAGCCTGGCCTAGCCTGGCATTGGTTATTTGCCACTTGAATTAAGCTGGCCTATTAAAACTGGCCACAATTCATTCTGCTTATTAAAATACATGGAAAAAGCAAAAAGTCACCATGCTGGAGCTGAAGTCCCTAGACTCTAAGCCTCCTTTAACACAACAAACTAGCTGTTCTATTGTCTGCTTCCAACAAAACTCTCAACCTGCTGCACCATTAGGTCACAGAGGGTATTGGGGCTTTTTAAATTACCCCGTTGAAGCTCTTTTTTTGGTCAGAACGCACAATAGGAAATGATCGGAAAACACAATATGGGGAACGTGAAGAAGAGAGGATTCCCTGATGGAGCCTATCAACCAAAGAACACGGAGATGGAAGATAACTATTACACTGCCTTGCTTGGGCACCATCCCAGGGCAGGATTGTTCCCCATGGTTTATTCTCCAGCCCAGTCTGATACAATGCAGGCTATGGACCCTGCACCATTTCCCTTGAGAAGACTATTCCAACATCTTACAGTCAATCAGTTGCAGAAACATACCTCTGAGCACCAAGGCACCTCCCATTTGAGACCCAACTGGAGAGCTCTAGCCCTTGCAAATCTGCTTTACAGTTCCAGGGCATAAGGGTGCATAAAGTCTTGCGCAGGCCCTCAGCCTCGGGGTGAATTTCACCCCCAAGCACAGAGTGAACCCAGTGACATGCATGCAGTTTAAAAGATTCCCTTCTAAAGCTGGGGCCATGTTAGAAGCTGCACTGGAGGCATGAGCATGAGGTTGGGAGATCAGGAGGTGCCAGGTTCCAATTGTGTCTCTACCACAAAGCCTCTCTCTGTGGCCTTGGGCAAGTCATTTAACTTCACTGCCTCAGTTTCCCCATCTGGGAATGATAATGGCAATGACCAGGGATTGTGAGAATCAGTTAATTAAACGGTTGCACACATTTAAAGCACTATGTAAATTGTAAGTATTATTGTTCCTCCTCCTCCCTGGAGCTTTAGGGATTCTGTTAAAATGAAGCCTGTCTCTCAACTGTATCTTGTTTGGGTTTCACTGGGTTTGGTTTGGTTTTTAAACCAATATCCCACCAAATGCAATGTTGCCAGTCCCATGTAGCTGCTCATTCTGCAGCATCTCTGATTCCCTCTACAGCTGGAGGATCCTTCTAGCTATAGTTGTCTCATGATCATTAGTTTGTGTTCACTGATCTAAAGAGTCACATAAGGAAGCGCTTTACCTCTGCAGGAGGGCAGTGGAAAATCCCAGGAGGCACTGTTTTCCGAACTGGCATGGCAAGTGAGCAAGGCATGACCCTCCAAAAAGAAGCCCGGGTTGCAGCTATACCTCACTTTGTCTCCAATGCTGAACGTCGTCCCTTGCTGGATTCCATTCTGGAGTCTTCCCGGATTTCCACACGTATGACTCGGTAAAACTGCCAGAGAGAAAATTGTTCCTGGTTAGCGAGAGACGGCAAATTCCATAGCCTCAATCCAGTTAAAACACCCTCCTTCTTTTTTTGCCCCTGTATTATTACAAGGTTCGTCACATCAGATACTGAACCCAATTATATAATGAAATAAATGCAATGTCCGTTTGGCACCATTCCAATACCAATGCAAACGTATCACTTAAAATGCAAAAAGCAAGTTCACTGACCATCGGATTTACCACATTGATCAGTTCAAGGCCCATCAGGTCTGGTATGTTACCTTCCCTAGGATAATGCTTCACAAAAGAGTAACCGCTCCCAGTAACTCACCTGAACAACTGTGCCAAGCTGTGCAAAGGAGAGCAAACTCCCGACTCCTATAAGGAATTTGTGACCTTCTGTACCTTGGGGGAGTGCCCTGTAACCCCCTATATTCCTCATTTATATATGACTGTGATCTTACATATAAAGCATGCCTTGTAAGGTATCAGAGGAAAGGCTATGATCTGCTGAAAGTCATTTCTCTAGCCATAGATAGATAGAGATAGATGGGGTGGATGGGGATAGATAGATAGGGTGGATGGGGATAGATAGATGGGGTTAGATAGATGGGGTGGATGGGGATAGATAGATGGGGACAGATGGATGGGGTGGATGGGGATAAATAGATGGGGTGGATGGGGATAAATAAATAGATAGATCCTATGAAGTTCTGAGAATTGTGTTGTATGGTTGTCACTAAAACATGCTGTAAATTGGGG